AAGATCTTTTCTATATACCCAATGACCTGCATTGGCCTGATTCTAATCAACCAATCAAATGTATAGCAAATGATGTCACTTGAACAATCAGGTCTGTTGCTAACGAGGTGATCTGACCAATCTGATAGGTTTGCCAATTAAACCAAATGTGCCCTGCAGCTGCATTAGGTTCAACTGAACAAACGCCTTCTCCCACCCATGAGCTCAGGCACTAATGAGATGGAATGTACCCTCCTAGATTCTTGTATCCTTGAAACTTCCAGGCCTAATGGGATGGCCAGTACCTGGGTTCCCTCTCATCTCCCTTATCTGAGTCTTTGGAGCTACAAGCAGTTTGAGCTGTGTTTCAGAGAAAGAACCTCCCATCTTTTCTAGGCCTCAGCCTGAACCACTTGTTTGAACAAGAAACTGTTTAAAGGAACCAGTTTCTTGACACCCTGCCTTTAACTGTGCCTGCCAATGATGTCACAGGCTGGTGCCAGCCCCGGGGCCTGGGCTGTGCCGGCTTGTTTGCTCTCTTGGGTGCACCTGCTGCTGCAACTTGCTCCTTGCTGCCCTGTCATGTCACTGGAGAGTCCTGTGCTGCCGGACATAGATGTGAAACTTACAAAAATGTAGTTGTACTTCTCTACTTGACAAAGGTTTTAATGTTTCTTTCCCCAAAAAATCACACATTTCAAGAAAAAGGAGGAATTTTCACTGATGCCTATAGATATTCACAAAGTTGAGAGCTGTAGTTAATTTTACAAAAGGGCCCTCAAAAGTAGCAGTTTGCCTGGCCTGAAATATCATGGCAGTCATTGCTTACAGTCAATTCCCTGATGTACTCTTACAGTGACTAAGGCTGCAGTTTTGTGCACACTTGCTGGGAGTTAGCCCAACTCCACTCAATAGGACTTACTTCTGAATAAATATTTGTAGGATCAGACTGTTAAGCCTATTGAAATAATTGGGCTTAGAAGGGTGTAGCTCTGTGTAGGATTGCACTGTAAGTCTGTTTGAAACAGCTCAGCACTGCAACTGAAGGAATAATTTCACTAAACCACCTAGTCTGCAGACTTTTTAAAATGTCTGACAGCTTTGGTCAAACGATGTTTAATTTTGGCTTTTGCCTACCAGGGGTGGCCAAACTGCAGCTTGGGCTCTTTCACGCAGTCTAATTTAATGTTAATAAAGAGCAAATTTGCATATTTTCCAATAAAAACGTGTGTGTAATATTTGTTCATGTCTTGTGGCTCTCAAACATCTGACCTTTATTCTATGTGGCTGCTGGTTAAGCAAGTTTGGCCACCCCTGGCAGTCATTCTGTACATGTCAGTCACTTCTGGGGGAAAGGAAAGTGACATCATGCTGTTGTAGGAATCATCACTCTGGTTTTACCATAGAGTTTTCTTCAGTTTCTACAGCAGTTTCCCCCACAAGTGATGTCACATTGTTCTAGCTGTGATTCCCTACCACCACCACTTCATAGAGGGCAGACCTGGCAACCCTAGCTTGTATAGCCAGGCCCAGGCTTGAAAAAACCAGGATCAGATCTACCCCAGAAGTCAATCTGGCACAGCACTCTGTTTAGGCTGCTCATGAGATATATCTGTTTTCAGGATGGATCAAAATGTACTTTGTATATAGCCCAGAAGCCAAGCCAATAGAGTTCACTTAGTAGGAATGCATTAGGAAGGACTGATTCACTGAGGTACATAGATATTTATCGCACAAACAAGGAAGGGTGTGTATGTATGTAAATCTGTATGGTATACCACCTTCAGAAAAGAAGACTACACAGCTAGATGCCTGCTGCCGTATTTCAATGTTGACTGCAACCTGTATATAATCTATTTAAAGAGAATTTGGTTGTACATTGACACTAATGACATAGAATTCCCATTTGAGAAAATGCATGCAACTGCAAAAACATTTGGAAATTAAGACCATTGTCATTTACTAATTGGCTATTTAATAATGACCGTTTTGAACAGAACATCTTACAGCAATTTCTTCCATCTAAAACATAAGCTTTTCAACAAGTTGGTTGCCAGCATTAGTTTAGACTTTTAACAAGTCTTATTAAAATGGTTATAGCAGCACTGCCCCCAATCTGTAGAACAGGGGATCTCAAACCTTTTGTAGCATGCAGGCACTTTTGGAATTCTGACACAGGGTGGTGGGTGCAACAGCACCATGGTAGTCATTGGAGACAGAGCCAACCTCAGAATGTTAAGGAGTGAAATTATGGACAACTGATAGCAACTGGTGGGTAGCCATGTTGGTCTGAACAAACAGGGGTCATTTCATAGAAAAAGAGCTGCAGGAGCTCATTAGCATAACTTATTAGCATATGCCACACCCCCGACATCACCGGAAGTGTGCACCAGCCCCTCTGACAGGCAGAAGCACCTGGGATCCATTCTTTC